ATGCAAAAATTGGCTCAGATATTTTGGCAACTTCGATAAAGATGTATTTATGGCAACAAGAAACCAACACCAAACCAAATGAGCATAACCAGATAGACCCATGTAAATAAACATATGTAATTATTTCATTATTACCTCCGTTATATGAAAATCATAGAAGTGAGAGAGAGAAAAAGTTCAGTTCCCTCTGTGAGTATGTATACCAAGACTCTGTTTACCTGAAAAAATCATCCGTCTTCCCACAGTTGTAGATATTGGCTCCCGATATGTTACAGATGCCATGGCTGTGGTCTTAACTGTGCTAATGGAATTTCTTTCTCAATTTCTTCAGACTAATTAACCAGCACCAGTTAGAACCAAAGACTGTAGTTCTTGTCTCCCTGTCCATGACATAGGCTGGGTGGTTGCTAAGGACTCTTTATGAAAACTTCTAACAGAGTTCTAGAATTCCAGTCTCCAAGAACAGTCAGATACAGATAGCAGTGACATTTCAGAAACTGCATTCAATGACTTTTCTTTATCTGTCAGTGTTGAACTAGAAAAGACCTGTTCACAGCTCAATTCGCAATAGCTAAGCTATGGAACCAACCTAGGTGCCCTTCAACAGATGAATGGATAAAGAAATTGTGGTAGGGCTGGGGATGTGGCTCAAGCGGTAGCGCGCTTGCCTGGCATGCGCGAGGTGCTGGGTTCGATCCTTAGCACCACATACTAATAAAATGAAGATTTGTGTCCACCGAAAACTAAAAAATAAATAAATATTTAAAAAAAAAAAAAAAAAAAGAAATTGTGGTACATTTACACAATGGAATGTTACTCAGCCATAAAGAAGAATGAACTTATGGCATTTGCCAGTAAATGGATGGAACTGGAGACTATCATGCTAAGTGAAAAAAGCCAATCTCAACAAACCAAAGACCAAATGTTCTCTCTAATATGCGGATGTTGACTCACAATAGGTAAGAGGGAAGTGTTGGTGGGGAGAGGGGGAGTTTCATGGGATTGGACAGGGCAGAGTTGGGAGATGGGAATGGGAAGACAGTAGAAAGAAATGGTCATAAGTTTCCTATGTTCATATATGAATACACCACAAGAGTAACTCCACATTATGTACAACCACAAAAGTGGGAAGTCATACTCCATGCATATATGATATGTCAAAATACGTTCTACTGTCATGTATAACTAAAAAGAACAAATCAAAAAAAGGAATGTATACTAAAATACTGAAAAATACCTACTATTTTGGACTTCTCAATTACCCTATTTTATATTTTTATATGTTCTCTCTAAATATCCTATTAATCATGTTATTAAAAATAATGTTTAAACACCCCATTCCCATGACTTCTTTTTACAAGTCAATTACTTTGTTTTCTCTAAAATAAGCACCTTTTTAAAAATTACATTCTTATTTAAAGCACTTATAATTTTCCTAATTGCTGAGATTAGCACATTGAGTATTGAAAAATTTCTTACCTTTAATACTCTTTTCCCCTGTATATATTAGGACAAATTCTCCCTTATTATATTAAATAAGTAGAAGTTATTCATGTTGATTCACAGATGAGCAAAATATAAGCCACTAACTTTTGAAACCATTACATTATTTGGACCTATGGGGAACTATTCAATCCATGGGAAAGGTAATCAGCTAACTAGAACCCTTAGGATTCTAAGAATCTCCAGATGTTTAAAACATGAATGATTGACCTCCTCACTACTGTTTAGGTCAGAATTTTCAGGCCTTCCCAAAAGCTCATTTTGTGGAAATTCGTTTCTCTTCAATTAATATACTAAAACTAAATTGGAAGGAAGATAAAAATCAACAAATTATGCTCAACTTACCTTAATTTTTTCCCTTTATTATCTGTAGGATTCTGGCTGATGATCTGTTTTGTTTTTACATTGGAATCTGAACAAAGTATTGTTAAATTGATGTTTATATCCATGGAATGTCGATCCACAGCACATCTGCATAATGGAAGAGGTGGATACTCATTAATTCCTACAAGGGCATCTTCCAAGCTCAGAATGGAGACCTTGACATAGGAAGGAACCTTTTGTTGCCTGGCCAGGACCTTATGAGCAATTTAGTTTAGATTTTCTAGAAACCTCTAATGGAAACATCCTGGTGTGTTTTATTTATTCTGCTGAAGCTTAATTACCTCTAGAGTATATTTCTCAATTTATCTTGGTATCTCCCTTCATTATGAATGTACCCACTGTCTTTAAACATTTGTTAGCCTGTTCTTACAGAAGATCTCATGTATGATACATTGATAGAGTGTTAAGAATAAAAGTCAGTGTTGGACTGGGGATATAGCTCAGTTGGTAGAGTGTTTGCTTTATATGCACAAAGCCCTGGGTTCAATCTCCAACACCACACACATACACACACACACAAAGTCAGTGTTATTATCAAGTGAAAGAAAGAAAGAAAGGAAGGAAGGAAGGAAGGAAAGGAAGAAAGAAGGAAGGAAAGGAAGAAAGAAGGAAGGAAAGGAAGAAAGAAGGAAAGAAAAGACCTGTGCAGGTGTTGAGAGCCACAGCCGAGTCAGAATGACGCTTGGCATATTGCCAGAGGGAATGGTTGAAAGGTGACACCAGCAAACCATTGAGATGATGATTTGAGTTAAGCTGTATATAATTGCTGTGATGCTGGATTGATTGAGTTGTATATGGACCCTGCTCTGGGAATCTGCCTCGGGCACCCGCTACTTTGGAGTTCCTGAGCAGTTCTCACGGGGGTTCAGGGAGATTGGGCGCTAGGAGCCCGGTGGAAGGAGTGTGTTCCCGAGTAGTGCGTGTGCAGTGCCAGTGAGAGTTAGGGAATAAAGAATTGCTGTTTGAACCTACAAGGCTTTGTGGCGGATCGGTTATTTGTGCCCAGCCAGACTGCGGCATGCAGGTATTAGACTTAGATCATGCTTCTATCTCAGATAACCTGGAAGGTTCAATCACCACTGTTTTTCGACATTCCATAAAGAATGTTCTGCAGGGATTCATGTAGTCAAAAACAAAACAAAACAAATATATATATATATGTAAACTATATATATATATATATATATATATATACACACACACACACACACACACATAAAATAACAAAAAACAAAATCTGCAAACCATGGTTAAATACATTTGAAAATCACCAGTCAGATAAAATGCAAAAAAATTACATTAATAAAAATGACAATTTTATATATATTTCTTTCTAGCCTCACATTCTAATACTTCCTTTGGTCATATCAATTTATTTGTGGCTCCCAATCCCTGCAATGTTCTTTCATTCTTCTGAGCCTTTACACATACAATTTGCTCTTCTTGTAACTTATCTATACAAATACTTCTTGTCCTCTGAAAGCCAATGCCCACATCTCTTCTTCCAGGAGGATGTCTGCAGATCTATGTAAGTATTTTCTTCTTCATTTGTCTTTAACCTCCATAGCATTGTGTTTAGATCTTTCTTTTGAACTTATCACTTAGTTTTAATTGTTTATTTATTTATTGTTTTTGTTTTGTTTTGCAGTGCTAGAGATCAAACCCAGGGCCTTGCACATGCTGACCTGAGCTATATTCCCAGTCCTCTATTTGTTTTCTCTACTTTCTCACCAGACTCTGACTTCCAGAAGGTCTTAATAAAAACATCTTCATTTATATTTAAATTTCCAAAGTCTTGTATGCAACAGATAGCTAATAAATGTTTATGGAATGAATAAATCAATGAACAGGTAATTCTAGCTTGCTTAGAAACAATATCAACTGCCTGATAATCCATTGAATATCTGAAAAATAATTTTGAGCTCACTAAATATATGTTTGTTTGTTTTTTTACTGAAACGTGTAATACTTTTGTTCTGTTGAGAACTACAATAAAAACAAAAATACTACATTAACCACAGAGAGCTTTACTAGTATGGTAGGCAGAGAGATGCCTACCAACGACCCCCTTCAAGGAAGAGCTTGTATCCCTGTTGCAGGGAGTGCCGTCTCCAGTTATCAGCTCCCTCACAAGGGCTGCAGCTGCAGAGAGCTGCCTCCTCTGTCTGAGGTCAAGCCCTTCTGGCACAGTCTGTGTCCAGTGACTAAGTGAAAAGGGAGGTGGAGGCAATCATTCCAGGTAGCTATGGGAAACTTTTTCACCTCTTGCACAGTTTTTGTTGGGCCCCCCAACCCAACTTCTTCCTCAGCTCAATACTGCTTCCTCCCCTTTTCCTTCACATGTGTAGATCTGAAATAACCATCTTGCCTCACACTTCCAGAGAACCTGACCTGAGACAGACAGCGTAGACACATATGCACAAATGTACACAAATAGCACTTCTCTCCACCTTTCCCCCTCTTTTCTCCACCCTTTTGACCACTCCACCCTTCTAACAGGAAGCAGATTCTGTTTCTCCCATGTGGGCAACAAGGTCAGTCAGTCCTTGTTGCGTTCTTGATCATCTTTGGTCCTGATCTTCATCACACTCTTCTTTATGTGCAGAAGCTTCTGTAAGCTTTTTTATAATTAGGTGAGCTAATTATAATTACTATAGTCAAGGGCTCTGTATAGCTAATTGAAAGCATCCCTCTCTGAAAATTCCCTATTTGTGTGCTGGAACTCCCATCTTCCAAGGCATCTAGGTTGCAAAGTTCTTAGTAGAGGAGAGGAATCTGTTCATTTGAGTATGTCAGTTGTTGTAGTTTTGTTGTTGTTGTTCATCAGAGTCACGGGTCTTGCTATATTACCAGGCTGCCTCCAACTCCTGGGCTCAAGTGATCCTCCTGCCTCAGCCTCCTGAATCACTGGGATCACAGATGCACACCACTGTGCCCTGTTGGCCTGTGGTTTTAATGATGCTGGAAAGAGAAAGGAAGGAGGAACCTAAATGAAGAATAGTAATTTTTTCATAACTTAAGAAGAAAAAAAAAAGGAGGTCTTGGCTTTTGAGAGGGGACCTCTCATTGAAAAGGTCGGGCGAACGTCGGAGGAAAAGACCACCAAGAGACTGTCTCATGCAACAGCAAAGGGTTTATTGGGGGTCCAGCATGCTGGGGCTCAGAGCTCACTTCGGAGGAGCGGAGATCAAAGAGCCCCGAGTACAGCTTGAGCAGGGCTTATATACATTTTTTGGAAAGGGGCAGGGGCTTCACATACAGCATAACAAATCATCACACACCACGGAAACATTAATCAACAACTCTTAACCATGATTAGTACATTCACTGGCAGGAACAGGTCGGGTAGGGGTGATTGGTCAGCACAAAGAAGGGTATACATATGAACTGATTGGCTTAAGTCCTGAGGTGTGTATGTGCAGGACTGCACAGTTTCTGGATGGGGAGGGGGTTGTTTTTACAGAGCAACCAGATGGTCAGGGGAGATTTCAACATACATTTCAGTGGCTTTTTCCGGGAGTTGTTTTAAACTTCCACATGAATTTCAGGTTCCAAATACAACTTAATAGAACTTAAAAACTTTACAGAACTTGAAACAAATCTTATCTTTCACATTTCAATTTCTTTAACCTTTCATCAGTAACCCATAATGGGAAGTGTAGTCTTCAGCTTCACAGGCTTAGGGTTAGCAATTCTGAGAGCAAAAAGAGAAAAAAGCTAAAAGAAATAGAGGAGAGAAACCAGAATTAGTTTTTCTCTACAAGAATATTCCACCAACTCAATACATATTTCGATTCATTTGGGTTTCTTCTGTTTCATTGTTTTAGAAACTTAAAAAATAATTTTACAATTAAGGAAAATATTTACGTTGTTTATAAGTAAAATCCTCAAATAAAAGATATTTAGAGAAATCTAGTGTTTATCCTTGTTAACTCCATTTGCTCTCCTTTTTCTTATAATATTTCAAAAAATATAGCCACATATGCATTTATGATCATATCCTCACTTTTCTTAAAGAAATGGTGGAACAAACTTTTTCTACCTTGTTTTTTTTTCTTTTAATACATTGGAGATCACTCTGTAGCATTATGTAAAGAATTCTCTCTCATCTGTACAAAATGCTTAATTCTATGCATTTACTATAATTTATTTAACCAGTCCACTACTAATTATCATTTGAGGTATTTCCAATTTTTCGTTATTTTAAATAGTGCTACAAAATATAGCTTTCTGCAGTCTCATATTTTTTGCAGACATCTTTGGAATAGACTTCTAAGAGGGATATTGCATATATAAATTGGAAAGACATATATAATTTTACTCAGTATTGCTAACTCCCCACCAATGGCTATACCACTTTGTAGTTATATCCACAATACCTAAGAATGGCAATTTGCCTATTTTCACCGGTAGAATATATTGTCAAACTTTTCTGACTTTGCCAATGTGATAGGTAAGAAATGGAAGCAAAGTAACCAACATTTCTCTTATCAATATCGTTGAAAATCTCATATGTTTAAGGGCTATTAGTATTATTTTTATGACTTTATGATCTGTGTAGCTTTATCGCTTTTGTGTGTGTGTGTGTGCGCACTTTAAGGTACTTGAAACTGAACCCAAGGCCTCATGCATGCTAGGCAGGCTCTCTACCACTGAGCTATACATTAGCTCTGTTTCTTGTGTTTTTCCTATTGGGTTTTGACTTTTTCATATGCTACTTTTAAGAGAAGGCCTTTAATCCTAGCTACTCAGGACGCTAAGGCAAGAGAATTGCAAATTCAAGGCCAGCCTGGATAACTTAGACCCTGTCTCCAAATAAAAAATAAAAAGAACTGGGGATGTAGCTCAATGACAGGGCACCCCTGGGCAAATCCAAGTATTGAAAAAAAAAAAAAGAGTGAATGAGCTAACATTCTAAAGAAGGACAACAAACACATTGCAAATTACAATAAAATGTAATAAGAGTAAGGATGGTTATAGTAATATATTTAATAAATGGCTATTTTGTTCACAGAGTGGTGGGAGCAGAGGGAAGATCACTGCCTTGGCCTGAGATGGAAGGGGAGAGGCTCACAGTGTGAGAAGGCTAGATTTCTTTGAGGTGATATCTAAACAGTGTTTTCAAGAGTGAGTAGAAAATAGGCAAAGGGAGAGAGAGCCAGAGGGTGGGGTGGGCGGAGAAGGCATTTTAGGCAAAGGGAACAGCTTGAGCAAAAGGCTAGAGGGGAGGAATCGCCAACAGCGCAGTACACGGCAAAAACACAAGCTGAGCACTGCTGCAGTCGTGACCAGGACTTTCCCTCACTGTGACAAAACCTGAGATAGACCAACTTATAAGGAGGAAAGTATTATTTTGGCTCACGATTTCAGAAGTTTCAGTCCATGGTCCGTTTTGCCTCATGTCTTTTGAGCCTGTAGCCAAGCAGAACATCATGGTGAGGAGTGTGCAGCAGAGCAAAGCGGCTTACCTCATGGTGTCTGGGAAGCAAAGAGAGACAGGAAGGGGCGGGATCCCAGTGGCTCCCTCAAGGGCACCCCCAATGACCTAACTTCCTTCCATTAAGTGGAGAGTGGGCTTGAGGAGCAGCCTGGTGTCGGGGTAGTTTTGAAGTAGTCTGGGAAAGCCAAAATGAGGATGTGCACCTGAACCAAGTCCTGGGTGACAGGAAGGGAGAGACTCTTCATGATCACGCACGAGCTGAAGAGAGGCTGTAAACAGGAAGGATGACCCCAGCTTCTCAGCTTGGTTCACTGGCAAAATAAGAGAAAGCAGAAGAGAAATAAAACTGAGGCCAGTAAATAAAGTGACGGTATTAACTTTAAGTAAAGCAATTAAATTAACAGGGTGTAGATTTGTATATGCTGCACAACAGGCTAATAGAGTAGCTAAAATTAAAGTCCAAATGGTTATAAAATATTGTGACAGTTACTGAACTCATTTTTAGGGATCAAATATGGTCTCCTCCCTTGGCCACCAAATGCTTTTTTTTTTTTCCTCCCCAGTACTGGAGATTGAACTCAGAGACATTCTACCACTGAGCTCCATTTTTTTTATTTTTTTTTTTTGAGAGCATCTCACTAAGTTACTGCAACAGACATTGAACTTGCAATCCTCCTTGACTCAGCCTTCTGAGTTTCTGGGATTACATGGCTGCACCAGATGCACTTCAGTTTGAGAAGATCACTGTTGTCAATGAATCCATAGTCTCTTCTAATGAAACTCAGGGTTTGACACAAATAAAATTGTGCTGTTATCTTGCTCTAATAAGTTAATAGCTATTTCAGAGTGAAAAATTACACTGAAGGTTAATGCAACCGTCCTTTAAAAATACCATTTAACACCAAAAACATTCACTGGAGTAAAGATAGCCTATTCAACAGATGGTGCTGGAAAAATTGGAACTCCACAAGTAACAAAATGAAATTAAACCCCTATCTCTTACCCTGCACAAAACTCAACTCAAAGTTGATCAAAAACTTAATGTACTAGAACAGAGACCCTACACCTAATAGAAGAAAAAGTAGTCCTAAATCTTTACCATGTCAGCCTAGGATCTGATTTCCTTAACAAGACTCCTAAAGCACAAGAAGTGAAATCTAGAATAAATAGATGAATGAATTAAAAAAATGTGGCATTTATATACAATGGAATATTACTCAGCAATAAAAGAGAATAAAAACATGGCATTTGCAGGTAAATGGATGAAGTTGGAGAAGATAATGCTAAGTGAAGTTAGCCAATCCCCAAAAAAACAAAATGCTGAATGTTTTCTCTGATATAAGGAGGCTGATTCATAGTGGGGTAGGGAGGGGGAGCATGGGAGGAATAGACGAACTCTAGATAGGGCAGAGGAGTGGGAGGGGAAGGGAGGGGGCACGGGGTTAGAAATGATGATGGAATGTGATGGTCATCATTATCCAAAGTACATGTATGATGACATGAATTGGTGTGAATATACTTTGTATACAACCAGAGATATAACAAATTGTGCTCTATATGTGTAATAAGAATTGTAATGCATTCTGCTGTCATACATAAATTTTAAAAATTAATTAAAAAAGAAAAAATGTAATTTTATGAATTAAAACGAAAAAGCTTCTTCTCAGCAAAGGAAACAATCAACAATGTGAAGAGAGCCTACAGAATGGGAGAAAACCTTTACCTCATGCACCTCTGATACAGCCTCTCCAGGATATATAAAGAACTCAAAAAACTTAACACCTAAAAAATAAAAATAAAAAATAAATAATCTAATCAATAAATGAGCTAAGGAACTGAACAGACATGTCACAGAAGAAGCAATACAATCAATCAACAAATATGTGAAAAAATGTTCAACATCTCTAGTAATTAGAGAAATGCATATCAGAACTACTCTAAGATTTCATCTCACTTCAGTCAGAAAAGCAGTTATCAAAAATACAAGAAACAATAAGTGTTGGCAAGGATGTGGGGGAAAATGTACACTCATACATTGCTGGTGGGACATTCCTCAGAAAACTTGGAATAGAACCACCATTTGACCCAGCTCTCCCAATCCTTGGTGTATGCCCAAAGGACTTAAAAATCAATATACTACAGTGACACAGTCACATCAAAGTTTATAGCAGTTTGATTCACAATAGCTAAACTATGGAACCAGCCTAGGTGTCCTTCAGCAGATGAATGGATAAAGAATGAAATTAAGGCATTTGCCAGTAAATGGATAGAGTTGGAGAATATCATGCTAAGCGAAATAAGCCAATCCCCCAAAAAAACAAAGTCCAAATGTTTTCTCTGACATACAGATGCTAATTCACAATAAGGGGGCGAGCAGCTAGGAAAGAACAGAATTGTTTTAGATTAGGTAGAGAGGAGTGAAGGGAGGGAAGGGAGAATGGGGGAAGGAAGTATAGTAGAATAAATCAGGCATTATTATCCTATGTACATATATGATTATAAGACTGGTGTGATTCTACATCATGTACACCAGAAGAATGAGAAATTATTCTCCATATATGTATGATGTGTCAAAATGCATTCTACTGTCATGTATAACTAATTAGAATAAATTTTTTAAAATCTAAAAAAAATACAATTTTAACATTTGAGAAAAAATCAAGTTACGTATTTTAATGACATGAAAATGACACAAACTAGAAACTTTTATGATACAGTACTGATCTACCTTTCCAGATGAACATAGGTCAGAATTTGCTAAAATTATGTAATATTCAAATATTCTTTTACCTGGGCTAGGGTTGTCACTCCATGGTAGAACACATGCTTAACTTTCAAGAAGGCCCTGAGTTCAGTCTCCAACCTGCCTCCCCACAAAATGTGGCTCAAATATCCTCTTAGTAAGCACACTTTGCAAATTGGGAAGCTTTGTGAATCATATATGTGTGATTTTGCCTATTACTTTTTCTTTCTTTTCTCTATCTCTCTCTCTCTTGTGTGCATGTGTGTCTCGTGCTGGGGACTGAACCCAGGCCTTGTGTATGCTACACAATTGCTTTACACTGTGCTACACACCCAGTCCTTTCCTGATACTTTTCAGTCCCAAATATTTTCATGCAATTCCTGTTTTCAGGAAATAATCTGAAAAACATACCAAATAAAGTCACAGACTTGGTCTCAAATCCCAACAACCCTTCAGGTAACGTTGGCAAGTTGCTTTCTTATACAATGAAAATTACTGTGCTGACTTATAGGCAAATGGGATATAGTGTGTAAAGTGCTTTTTGCTGTCCCTGGCACATAGTATAAAGTCAATAAAATTTATCCATAATATTAGTCTCATCACTGTCTTCTTCATCCTTTACCCTATTCTTTCCTGAGAAGATACATTAGACTAGGACACATTTAAACTGTGACCACCATCACTATACTTCTTATATTTGGATAAGCAAGACCAGCTTGGGAAAGGATCTGTAGTCTTTCTTCTCCTCCTTTAGCTTTAATTCAAATATTTGCACCCAGAGTAGAGGGTTGCTAATCCCAGCCAGTCCAATCAACTCAATTCCCCACAATCATAGTTAATTAATTGGGGATTAGAAAACAGATAGGTGTTTTCTATAAAAACACAGTGTTAGAAAACTAAAACTACAAAATATTTCAATCACTATTTAATTACCCTAATTGCTATACTATCCATTAAAAGACAGTAAACAATTTAAAGCAGGTGTTATAGACGTGGTGAACAGTCATATCTCACAAATGTGTGAATTATTATTAAACATGACGTTAGCTATGACAGATATTGAGCTGTTCATTTTTCCCATGAGAGATCTGATACAGGAGGTTAGTTGAGGTGTAAGAGTAAAAGAAATTGAAGTTAAAGTGTAAAAGACCGGGTATTGTAAAGTTTCTAAGCTGCAAAGCCTGAGTTAAAATGTAAAGGACCAGGTATTGTTAAGTTCCTATGCTACACCCAAAACCTAAAATTCCTGTAGCTGTTAGGACAATTCTCGGGACTGCCCAGTAAATACTCCCCCTGACCATCTAGTTGTTTAATAACCTAGGACCCTGTGCAGCTTGGCACGTAGGCATCTCAGGGCCTAAACCAATCAGTTTGAATGCGTACCCCGCTTTAGAACTGACCTATCACCCCCACCCGACCTGTTCCCACCAATGAATGTGCTAATCAGGTTTGAGAGTTGTTGTTCGATTTTCCCGTGCCTCATGATGATTTGTTCTGATGTATGCAAAGCCCCCGCCCTCCCCAAAAAGTGTACTTAAGCACTGCTTAACCTCTGCTCGGGGCTCTTGGCCGCTCTCCCTTCTTGAGTGAGCCTGGAGCCCCAGCGCGCTGGATTGGATCCTCAATAAATCCCCTTTTGCTGTTGCATGAGCCGGTCTCTTGGTGGTCTCTTCCTCCGATGTTCGCCGGACCCTTACAGAGGGCTAGCCAAAGATACTGAGGGAACTAAAGAGGAAGGACTAAGGACCCAATGCTCCTGATTCTCAGTTCAGGGTGCTTTTTTCCCCATTTTTTCTTACAAAAATACCTGTCATCTCTCTCTCTCTCTCTCTCTTTTTTTTTTTTTTTTTTGGTGCTGGGGATCAAACCCAGGGCCTTATGCATGCAAGGCAAGCATTCTACCAACTGAGCTCTATCCCCATCTCCCCTGTCATCTCTTTTCTCATTCATGGTGCTGTGGCTATCAAAAGCTCTTGGCAAAATGAATGTCTAACAAATGTGGTTTGATGGCCATAATGACAAAAAGAATAAAAAAAAAAAAAAGCTCTTGGCATTTGCTCTAGTGGTCTTTCTTCTGACACACAGTTAAATTTTCTGGCGAAGGCTTCTTCACTCATCAATGAGCAAATCTAACTGGGCACTTACTGTGTGCCAGACACTATGCTAAACACTTCCCCAGAATTCTGCACAATAATAGCATGACATAGAGTTATTACTCTGATCTATTGGCAAGGTGAGTTCCATGGGTGAGCGTCAAAGTTTTGTCTTATTGTAGGTCCATGGCAAAGAATGTTGGTC